TCCTATCGGGATTTGTCAGCACATTCGGGCAGTGTTGCTGGTCTTGTTTTAACCTGTCGAAATGTCTTGAAGAACCGAGATACCGAGTCTGATCGGAATGTCTTGGGAGGAGGTCTATTCCTTCGTTGACCGTGAGAGCTTGTCATGGGCTAAGTTGGGACTCCCCTGAAGGGATTGAACTTTCGAAAGCCGTGCCCGCGGTTATGGGCAGATGGGAATTTGTTAATGTCCAGTTGTAGATAATTTGAACCTTAACTTAATTAAAATGAATCAACTGAGTGTGTTACCGTGATGGCCTCTTCTCAGCGGAGTCCGGGAAGTGGACACAGTGTTGGAGTAATGTTTGCGTAGGTTGCTCTCTAGTTTCTCGCTCGCGCTTTGCCTCCTCTTCTCGCTCTCTTTTGCGATTAAGTTAGCCACCATATATGCTAGTCGCTTGCTGCAGCTCCACTTATATTTACCTTATCCTACCTATTTAGCTTAAATAGTCTTGATCGCGAGGGTGCGAGATTGTTGAGTCCCTGTGGCTCACAGATTACTATTACACCAGATGCAGGTCCAGGTGATTCCGCTCCAGGTGGCGCGTTCGAGCTCAAGTGGGAGTTTGACGAGGACTCTCAGCGTTACTATGTTTCCTTTCCTGATGATCAGTAGTGGTGCCCTGTTGGGGGTGATCGGGACCATGTCGCATGTTGGGTTATCTTTCATTTTGGCGCCGTAGTCGGGCCATGAGTGTTGGATGATGTATGTTATTTATGTACTTGATTGACGTGGCGAGTGTAAGCCAACTATGTTATCCCTTTTCGTTATCTATATTATATGGGATGTTTGTGATGATTACCTGACTTGTGACATATGCCTTCAATGCGATTATGCCTCTAAGTCATGCCTCGACACGTGGGAGATATAGTCGCATCGAGGGTGTTACATGTCGGTCTGGGCCGCTTCATCCAACAATACCGCCGAACCAAAGTATGACATGCTGGTAAGCAGTATGACTATTATCGCCCACAACTCTTTGTGTTCTACTCGTGCATATAACATCTACGCATAGACCTGGCTCAGATGCCACTGTTGGGAAACGTAGTATTTTAAATTTTTTGCCTACGATCATGCAAGATCTATCTAGGAGAAGCATAGCAACGAGCGGGGAGAGTGTGTCCACGTACCCTCGTAGATCAAAAGCGGAAGCGTTTAGTAACGCGGTTGATGTAGTCGAACGTCTTTGCGATCCAACCGATCAAGTACCGAATGCACTACACCTCCGCAGTCTGCACACGTTCAGCTTGGTGACGTCCCTCGTACTCTTGATCCAGCTGAGGCCGAGGGAGAGTTTCGTTAGCACGACGGTGTGGTGACTGTGATGATGAAGTTACCGACGCAGAGCTTCGCCTAAGCACTATGACAATATGACCGAGGTGGAAAACTGTGGAGGGGGCACCGCACACGGCTAAAGATCAACTTGTGTGTCTTTGGGGTGCCCCCTGCCCCCGTATATAAAGGAGGGGAGGAGGAGGCCGGCCAACAAGGGGCACACCAGGGAGAGAGGGTCCTACTAGGACTCTAGTCCTAGTAGGATTTGACCCCACCCTTTTTTCCTTCTACTTGAGGGGGAAAAGGGGAAGGAGAGGGAGTAGGAGAAGAAAAGGGGGTGGCACCCCCTTCCCAAGTCCAATTAGGCCTCCTCCCTTGTGGGCTGGTTAGCCTCCCTCCTGTGGCCCATAAGGCCCATATCTTTCCCCGGGGGGTTCCGGTAACCTCCGGTACTCCGGAAAAATGCCCGAATCACTCGGAACCATTCCGATGTCCGAATGCAACCTTCCAATATATGAGTCTTTACCTCTCGACCATTTTGAGACTCCTCGTCATGACCGTGATGTCATTCGAGACTCTGAACAGACTTCGGTACATCAAATCACATAACTCATAATACAAATCGTCATCGAACGTTAAGCGTGCGGACCCTACGGGTTCGAGAACTATGTAGACATGACCGAGACACATCTCTGGTCAATAACCAATAGCGGAACCTGGATGCTCATATTGGCTCCTACATATTCTATGAAGATCTTTATCGGTCAAACCGCATAACAACATATGTTGTTCCCTTTGTCATCGGTATGTTACTTGCCCGAGATTCGATCGTCGGTATCATCATTCCTAGTTCAATCTCGTTACCGGCAAGTCTTTTTACTCGTTCCATAATGCATCATCCCATAACTAACTCATTAGTCACATTGCTTGCAAGGCTTATAGTGATGTGCATTACCGAGAGGGCCCAGAGATACCTCTCCGATACTCGGAGTGACAAATCCTAATCTCGATCTATGCCAACCCAACAAACACCTTCGGAGACACCTTTAGAGCATCTTTATAATCACCCTGTTACGTTGTGACGTTTGATAGCACACAAGGTGTTCCTCCGATATTCAGGAGTTGCATAATCTCAGTCAAAGGAACATGTATAAGTCATGATGAAAGCAATAGCAATAAAACTAAACGATCATTATGCTAAGCTAACGGATGAGTCTTGTCCATCACATCATTCTCTAATGATGTGATCCCGTTCATCAAATGACAACACATGTCTATGGTCAGAAAACTTAACCATCTTTGATTAACTAGCTAGTCTAGTAGAGGCATACTAGGGACACTTTGTTTGTCTATGTATTCACACTTGTACTAAGTTTCCGGTTAATATAATTCTAGCATGAATAATAAACATTTATCATGATATAAGGAAATATAAATAAGAAGTTTATTATTGCCTCTAAGGCATATTTCCTTCAGTACAGGGGTGAGAGAGTGTGCCCTCCGCATCGACACGTTAGCAAGTTTGAGTCCCAAGATGTATATTTTTTTCCTATTTTTATCTACTCCATCGCCCCATACTAGAAGATGTTATCACAAGGAGTACTAACTACAGACATAAGTTCACAATAATGTGCAAACATGTTTAACCTAGAGGGGCTACCATCATGTAAGCCTCATAATTCTTTATCAAGGGATTTCGATACCTATTTTTATAAGCTAGAATTTTTTATTTAATTTTTGTTTGAAATATTTCAAGTGATAGTTGTGCAGTATTTTTTGATAACCAGCATATCCACAAATTCCGTCTTAAGGTAAAGAAAATATCATATCGATAACCAAAACCATGCTTATGATCACTACCCGCTACTAATGGATCTTGTCGTTGATCTCCACTCTGCCAGCCGCTTCTAATTTGAGTCCTATTGGCCAAACGTGCCATGCTTCAAGGATGTGGTACCTGGCGTATGGATATCCTACACGCAAATTAAAAATCTATTTAAGAGGGTGCCTGCTAAAAAGAGGGTTGCGGCCGGACGATTGAAAAGCTAGATTGAAAATTTCATAGGTAATACCAAGATCTAGATTTGGATTGCCACTGAGTGATCTTGCGCTTGTTGCTATGGAGTCCGGGCCTCTTTCTGCGCATGAGAGGGCTCTACACAAATTGCTCAACAAGAAATTGTTAGGTCCAGCGCCAACTCAAGATGACCTTGGTGCACCATTAATCCAGGTTGCTCTCTCCGAAGGAGGGGGCGCGAATACACGGTTCTTTCACCTACATGCCAATAACATGAAGTGCAAGAATTTTGTCGGCAAGCTCAAGATGGATGGACCCATATATGTTGATCATGAGGATATGGCAAGGGTGGTGGATAAATACTTTCACAACTTCGAATCAGTTCTCATGATTTGTCAAGCCTTCGGTTTAGCACTTCCTATTATATTTATAGAAAATCGTTGAACCACGAAGAGTAGGGGTTTGTAGAAAGCAACAAATTTTCCTCAGTGAAGAACCAATGTTGTCAATCCTTGGGGTGCTCAAGTTACGAGTTAATTATCAATACTTGCATAGAATTAAGAACTTCTTGGCCCCAACTTGTCTAATGAGGTTATCAATCTCCGCAGCTTTGATAGTTACAAAGATAAGCGTATCACATGATCTATAAAACAAAAATAAAAACGGTAAGAATAATAACACAAGTGATCGAGGTCATGATTATGAGGAATAACGGACCGGGATCCATAACTTCACTAGTGGCATCTCTGGAAAAAACATAGCATCTATGTGGTGAACAAATTACAGTTGTGTATCGATTAATTGCATTTTTATGATTGATAATATATGTCATGATTTCATATAGTCATTACGTCCCTATATCTCTAGACTGTTATCCAACTACATCTACAGCTAACACTCCGCTCGAGAATGCTATCCAGCATGCATCTCTAGGAGTATTAAGTAAAAATAGAGTATTGCATTAAACAGAGAGTAACGTAATGTTGACAATATATTCTCTTTACCTCTAACTCATCACGGAGGCAACTAGGCAGCTATCTTTTAGTGACAATATATTCTCTTACCTCCAACTCATCACCGAGACAACTAGGCAGCTATCGTTTCATCCTTAATTAGTGGAAATGACATAATAGAAGATTTTTCTCTCTTTCTGTCAGTGAGATAGATTACTGTCAAGGTTAAGCCCAACTAACATACACACATCTCTCTTGGAGATCATTCATCTAAACATGGTCAGTGCAATAGTAATAGATCAGAGAGCATATATGGCGTTAGTTTTATCAACAAGCTGTCAATATGTAAATCCATTTAGATTTTATGATTTAAGAGCTTTAACGATGAGATGTTTTGGTGGGTGGCATTTTGCCTAGGAAAGCATGCATATTGAATATCCGTTAAAAATATGTTATTCACAAGTAATAGTATCACTTTGTACCCAAATGTCACATGTTTTTTTTTTCAAGAAAAGTAATCAAATCATATTTACAAGAATTACCAGCTTACAAAACATATCTTTGGGTACAAAGTGACACAAAACTCATAGACATAAACATACTGCGCGCGCAACAATCCATCTTCTCAAACTAACGGGACAAACGTCGGCGACAGTGGTAGTAGATGACAGCGGTGGACTGAGCAGGCATCGATCTATGGTCGTCCATTGAACTGATCAGTGGTAGCCGAGTGGCGCAGGCGTCTGATTCAGCGTCATTCCCTGGTAATGGATGTCCGATGCGTAGTGGTTGGCGTCACGGTGATGCGCCTCGTCGGCGCGCACGGCGGTGACGACGTCCTTGAGCCTGGCGTCGGCGGGGAGGCGCCAGTAATCTATGGCGATGGCCGGCGCGGGCGTGTTCTCGATCAAGCCAGCCTCGAGGTCCTTGAGGTATTCGGTGTAGGAGTGGACGGCCTCCTCCTCGAGGTAGCCAACGAAGCGGTGCGCGAACTTGGGGGAGACGAGGTAGCCGACGAAGTAGGCGTTGAAGAAGACGCCCTGAGTGGCGAGCACGAGCGCGCGCTCCCACCACAGCGGCTGCGTCACCTCCATGAAGGTCATGAGGTGCATGCGCTCGTTCTCGGCCTCCTCCATGAGCGCGCGGATCCAGCCGCCGCTGTGCTCGAAGCGGCGGAGCGAGCGCAGGTGCAGCAGCACGCCGCCCACCATGGGCGGCACGGCCGCCACCGTCTCCAGCAGCAGCGCGTGGCTGGCGTGCCGGCGCTGGAAGAAGAGGTCGCTGCCCTTGCGCAGCGTCCGCACGATGAGGTACGCCACCTTGTCCGCCACCGCCCTGGGCTCGTGGTGCTTGGCCACGTCGATGGACGTGTCCGGCCTGTACGTGTCCCACGGCCTGAAGGAGAACCACGGCCACTCCGTGCCGTCGTCCTTGACGAGCTTCCGCGGCTCGATACCCCAGTAGCTCGGCACGGCCTTCTTGTTCTGCTCCGGCGCTGTTGCGCCCTGGGGCTTTTCAGTGGCTTCTTCGTGCTTGGCACGCGGGCCGGCGGCCTCGGTGCTGGCCATCCGCGCGGGGAAGACCCTCGCGGCGGCCGGCATGATGCCCCTCGCGCTCGCGGCGAGCCTGGACGCCGGCTCGGCGGCGGCGAAGAGGCGGGGGCCCAGGTGGCGCAGCAGCGTGGCTCCGGCCATCCGAGAGCTCATGGTGTTGGCTGTTGAACTACTAAAATACGCCGGTCGAAAAGCTTGAGGGTATAATATTTTCTTGTGATCGGATCGAATGGGAAGTCTTGGTTGCTGGGAAGTGATTTCTGTTGGTGTTGATCTGGTAAACTGAGTGATGGCAAGAAACGTTTTTGCTGGAGATGGTTTTATAGGGGAACTGGCGTGTCGGGAACGGCACGGCACGGTGCTTCCCGGAATGTCACTAGACAACATCAACATGTGCGCATTCTCCCTGGATAGAGAAGGAGAAAAAAAGACATGTGCGCACTCGCCCAACAGCTAACTGTCATGGATGATCCAATTCTTTTGTGGTTCAGTTCAAAACAAAAATATTCTTATATCTCGTTACACATACTATACTATTTTTGTGCATGAGGGGCTGCTAACAGAGTACTACTTAATTTAGTTATTTATTTTTGATGTAAACAGACTACTTAGTTTAGATAGGTGTGCATATTTAATTTGACACAGTTGTACCCACCACACAATAATGGATAGTGCGGCGGGCTCGGCCGGCGCGCGCTGCTTCCTGGGCGGAGCGGCAGCGCAGCACAGCGGTTGTCTAATCTAAATGGAATCTTTGCTCAAAAAGTACCCCCTCTGTCCCATAATGTAAGACGTTTTTTCACATTAGTGTAGTGTCAAAAAACGTTTTACATTATGGAACGGAGGGAGTACAATCTAAACGGGATCAACTGCTTGCCGTGCAAGTCTCTGTCTGATTGACAGACAAGTAATTTGAAACGGAGGGAGTAAAAGATTCCTAACGGAGTGGCCGAGGAGCTCGTGACGGGGAACGTCGTCGCCGGCTTCCGGGGGAGTTCGAGAGCCATCCATCGGTTGCGCTGCGCGATCCGGACACAACCGCCGTGCGAACTTGACCTGCAGTGCTGCTTGTGGCGTGGATGCCACGCACGGGACGGCCGTGCTCGTGCCACCTGGTTGGGAAATACCACTGGTCTTCGCCTTTGGGGGTCAGCCGGTGAGGCGACTTTGACCATTCTTCGCCGCGGCCGGGATGATGGGGACGACAGATTCCATGGGTCCCGTGCACGCACCGACGCACGCGCAGGAGAACGGGAGCGTTTGACATGGTGGGCGGGCGCATCAAAATGGAAGACGAGGCCAAGTAGGTGCTGAGCTTGAGTGCTCAGTGGAACAGTTGGAGACTTGGAAATCAAATACATTTGCTTATGTCCTGCTGGAGATGGCTGTCCATGTCTAAAGGGTTCTAGAAACGTATACGGCTCCATTTTTTCTTCTTCCAGGAAACAACCATGCAGTGGCAACATACAGTTTTTATGCACTGCCATTTTTTTTCCAAGTATTAAAGCATCATAAGAGCTACTCCCTCTGTCCCATAATATAAGAGCGTTTTTTACACTAGTACAGTGTCAAAAACACTTTTAAATTATGGGAGGGAGGGAGTACATTGGAAGTACTGTTGTTCCAGAGGAAATTTCTGAATTCCAAGAAGAATTCCAAGAAGCTCAGAGAAGGCTTCCGGAGTAAAAGAGCTTTATTATCAGGCAGAGTTTTTCTTATCTTAACTGAAAAGCTTTAGGCATAGTTTGTCTAGCATGTACCTCTGATCTAGTCGTGGCCATCGGCAGCCCGGCCCGAACGGCCCAGCCCGAAAAAGCCTGACCCGGCCCGGCCCGGCACTGCTTCCAGGCCGGGCCCAGCCTAGATTTTGTCTGTCATTTTTGCTATTTTCCTGAAGGGGCCCAAGGCCCAGCGGGCTTTTACGCGTTTGGGCCAGGCTTGGGCCCAAAAACAGTCCCAATGCCAGGCCTGGGCCTGGGTTTTTTGTCTCAAGCTTGGCTAGGCCCGGCCCAAAGCCCGAGGTTTGGCCAGGTATACTCTGATCCCATCAAAAAATTCAGTTTGAAAAAATGTTCATAACTATCCTCTTTGATTCAGAGAAAAATTCCAGCGTATCAAAGAGGCCCCTAACCGTGATTTCGCATTCAGAGCCAGAAACCATGATTTCGCATTCAGAGCCAGAAAGTTAGAACACATTTCCAAGCCCCCCAAACTGTCATTACGATGATTGTGATACATGTTGCATTGCAGGTTACAACAGATGGGAGTTACTCCATGCCCACTGTAGCTACTAGCTACCCATGATTCATCCACCTGTTCATGGGCGGCTGCATATCGAAGCAAGGCAGGATAAGTTACACTAGGTTACATCACACAAGGGGATCGGCTTATTTGACATACATTGCCGAAACCCGTTTACATTTTACAAGAACCTCTCCAAGAGTTTGAAGTCCAGCACAAGCTCCTTCAACCCAACCATTTTGCTGTACTGCAAGGTGATCCAGCCAACGAAAGATATATACGCAACAAGAAGGCACGCCCGCTTGAAACGGTAAGCAAACACCCTGATGCTATGGTTTCTCACAGCCCGCCTGGCGGCAGCAAGGAACACTCCTCGCAGGATTCTTACTGCTATTGTGATGAGTATGGAACTCAGCACGCCCGCCACGACCCCTGCTGCCGCATATCCAAGCATCCACCACGAACTGAAATCTTTTGACTTGCAGAACTTTGAAAACCTGTCATGTTTCAATCTCAAGTTAAACAGAAGCAAATGGAAATATTAAGGATAAATTACCATTTGAAGAACTGAAGGGAAAAAGTAACCATTTTAAACAACCACAGATTCTTAAGTTCCTAGAGTTTACAGCTTGAAATTAAGTGGTGATGCAACAATGCAACCCAAGTGTAAGAAACAAAGCCAATTGATAAGCATAAAGCACTAGAGCTAGTCAGATTACCAGTGCAAATAAGAGCAACGAGTACTTTCGGCTATCGACTTCTGGTTAAGGATATGTGGATTAACATATGTTATCACATTATGAGAAGGTAAGGCGATGCCCATGCAGCAGGTAGAAAATTAGAGGGCATATATACTCACAGTACAAAAATCCTTTTCAGCATTTCAATTATTGAAGGATCCTCAGCAGTGCAATTGAATAGCTTGTCTGAATAAATGTCAGCTTTGGTACTCCCCAGTGTGTACCTGCACTTGTATGATTCATTGACCTACAAGAAAAGACGATAATAAAATGATGACCTCTTGATAACTAAACATGATATACGCAAAGGGCGTGCAAACAACTGAAGATTCAAAAAACCACTGGAGAGAACATTATGTATGTCTCATACTCTCATGTGAACTAGATGTTCTTTCTCATGTGAACTACTCCCTCCGTTCCAAAATAGATGACCCAATTTTGTACTAACTTTGTACTAAAGTTAGTACAAAGTTGAGTCATCTATTTTGGAACGGAGGGAGTAGATGTTCCATAGTAGTGTACCTTGAACTTTGCTGTTGTTGACCATACAGCACCAAAATCAGGCCGGCAATTGTGAGGAAGAGCCTCTTTTGGAGCTTCTGCCATTGCATAAGATGTTTGACCAGAAAAATATTCTGTGTATTCAACCTAGAGTATCCATCCACAACACAAGTGAGAAAAACTAACTAAACACATATAGTAATACTCGTGAATACTAATAGTAAACTGAAAGACTGCGGGCAGGCTGTGCAGTGTGCAGTGCACGACCACAAGCTAATGTTCGAAACGTAAATATGTCGTGTCTTTATTTACAGGACTTCATGAACAAACTAGAAACTACAGCTAGAATTGTTCATCATTTATTGCCTTATTTGGGAGTTGAGAGCACATAGAAAGCATCAAAGATCTGTATATATCATTATCAGTAAAAGCATTAAACAGCCCAAATCTAGAGGATCTGAATGTGAGAATACCTAAATCTGTACTATTAAAGGGGAGTTTGCCGTCGTAATAGTTACTCCTCCTTCCGTCCCCTTCCAGCACACGAAAAACAAAAAGAAGAAAAGAACTGGAAAAAACCCCGGGAAAGGGGTAACAACCGCCAGTCCGTC